TTTTTTTTTTTTTTTTTTTTTTTTTTAAATTTGTACGAGCATAATTTGTGTGTCGCTCATGAAGTCCTGAAAAGACCTTACCATTTCAAACCTTGTTTGTGTAAGTCTATCCAAAACCCTAAACCCTGACCCTTAACTATAGCTTTTTATTTTGCTTAAACATCAATCCACTGGTCTTTACTGTCTCTCCCATTTCCTATCCCTATGGTAGTCCTATTTCCTGTGTCATTCCTTGGATCTCCGAGGACACCTCTGATCTGTCCTCCTTAAACCAATGAAAAATCAGTCTCTGACCCTCTATAGTCGCAACCAATACCTTATTCTCAAATTTCGTGAGAATAGCCTTCGCCTTTTCAGGGTTTATTGCTGCTTGTATTTTGATCCTCTGCCATTGGGCTTTAATGTCTGTTTCCAATAGATTATAGAGCGTGGTTCTGGCTTCCATCTTGGTCATCAGATTTTTGCCGATCACCCGTTGACATTTCCGTTTCCAGATAATCCACAATGTATACTGTCTCAATAGCTGAAAGATGTATTTTTCACTCTCCTTCCATGTCTTAGGTGCTTCTCTTCCCATAAGCAAGAGCCTTGTGCTACTTGGAAAGAGAATGTCCGTAGTACGCTCCCAAAGTATATCGGCCACTGCCCATATGTATTCTGCTTCCGCACAATTAAGTAAACAATGTACCATCGTTTCAGGCTCTTTGTCAGTGCACATAGTACAGTCTTGTTGTATTTCTTCCCTATTCTGCCTACTCCTTTTTCATATAACCATACGTTAACCGGAAGTGCCACATGGAATATAAGCCACTGCATACTCCGGATCCTACCCAACCTGATACCATGAAGGCTTGACCATGGTATTTTGCCTACCTGTTGTCTTGGTATGCCCACCCTTTTTTCCCATCTAATCGCCAAAGGCCTTTCCAAGTGGTTCAACCTTCTTCTAAGCCGATATCCCCATTTAGTCGTATACTGAAGTATGTTAATTTTCTTGACCACTCGTGACGAGCTTCCCTTGATGTTCCATGCCCATTCAACTGGGTCCACCTCTAGATTCTGAATGGTGATCGTTGGAGCGTATATTGTGAATTCATCATTCTCTATGACTCTGACTTTTCTCAAGAGATCCTTCCTGATGGTGATCGGTACCCTAGAATCCTTATCTAAGTGGCTCACTGTGTTGCCTGGGGTAAAGATTGAATACATATCCGCTTCCAACCACTGTTTATCTGGTCCTACCTCCTGACCAATTCGAAAAGCTTGCTGGGCTTCTACACTATGACTCCAGGTTGCCCAATCACCCCATCCCCATTTGTATGGACCCCTCAACATCCTTGTCCAATCCTCCGGAATGGAGATTAATATGTCGTTCAGATTTTCAATTAGTCTATGACACCCCTTCATTTCTTCCCTCAGTTCTCTACCCATTTTCCATCTTCCATTCAATTCTGACCATAGATGTTTCACTTGCCATACTCCATGTTCCAACCAGTTTCCCCATTTGTCATCCTTCGCTGTGAGTGTCCTTGGTTTCCCTTGGGGGTCCTTCAACCATGGATTACAAAATAACGGTTGCCTAAGTACTTCCTCCTTCGTCCTTGGTTGTCTTACTCTTGCCGGGAATATATCTGTCCAAATCTTAAGTATTTGAGCCCAATATGAATTCCTGGTCGATTCATCTTCCCCTCCCTTTATTCCTTCTCTTCTCTTTTTGGCCCAACATTTACAAAAAAAACAGAACGTTCCTTCCATATTAGGAGGAGTTTTATACTTAGCCATCCTTCGTATATGGTCCAAAACCAATGGAACCCAGCGGAGATGGGGTTGTGTGAGTAATTTGATAACCCATTTAGTTTGGAGTGCTTTGATCTGCTGACCCGGATCAAGGATTCCCAACCCCCCCTGATCCTTTGTCTGAATGACCTGTCTCCATGCTACCTTAGAAATATAATTTATCTTAGTGGGGTTCGTTGTCTAGAGGTATGTTGTTGCCTCTCTCCTGAGCTTGTTTAGAGAGTGTAATGGAGGTGTCCATATTGTTCCTGCGTACCATAACATGGAGAAGATAGAAGCGTTTAATATTAGCGCCCTCCCAAAAAGTGACGTATAAATTTCAGACCATACTGACATTTTGGCTAACATTTTGGCCATCTGCTGTTGTGCCATCGAGTAGTGAGGACCTGTATCTGCTAGTGTGATCCCCAAATACCTCAGTGGTTGATCTGATGACGCCCATGTCATTCCCCCAAAATTCGACGGGTAAGGTAGAGTTTGATGGTCATAATGTGATAGCCACCATCCCACTGTTTTAGGCCAATTAATTTTCATTTTCGAAGCCAGTTGGAAGGCATCCATCGCTTTGGTGAGGGCTTGAAACGACGAATCTGTAGCCCTAATTAGGACTGTCAAATCGTCTGCGAACAGTATCGTTGTTGGCAACTGTATGAGACGACCCTGTTGATCCGGTTCCATTATCAGACGATCTATGCCTGGGTCTTTCCTGAGAAAGGAAGATATAACCTCCATTATAAACAGGAAAATAGGTGCCGCCAGTGGGTCCCCTTGTCTAATCGATCTACTCATTTTATATCTTCCTGATAAATGACCGTTGACTTGTACCTGACCATGTGCGTTATTATACAACACCCTAATCCATTTGCGAAAGTTAGGTCCCACGCCCATCTTCTCCATGCATTGTTGCAGAAAGTTCCAGTTTACCTGGTCATATGCTTTCTCAAAATCAAAAAAGAGAATTGATGCGTCAAAAAAGAGAATTGATGCGTTAATCCTCTTGTTTGTAATATACCTGACCGATTCCGATAAGGTCATTACATTATCCAATATTAATCTCCCCGGGATAAAACCTGTTTGATCTAAATGAAATGCTCTGTCTGTTATCCTTCTCAATCGATTTGCTAAAGCTTTAGCTACTATCTTATGAGTAAGGGTCAGAAGTGTAATCGGTCTATAATTTATGATATCTTTGGGGTCTCCCTTTTTATATTGAAGTGTAACTACTCTTGTTGTCGGTTCCACCCCTAGACCTTCTTTTTGCCATGCATAGTTGAGGAAGGCTTCGTATTCTCCTCCCAAGATGGGCCAAAACTCCATCCATAATTCTTTTGTAAGACCGTCCCTACCTGGAGTCTTATTAGAAGGCATAGACTGTAGGACTTCGTGCAACTCTTCCTGGGTCAGTGGTGCATCTAATATTTGCACTTGTTTCCCCTTTATTGTACAGTCGAGATATGCAAGGAATCTTTTAAATGATGCGATTCTTCCTCCCCTTCCCTTGAAGTGTATAATGTACTATAAAAATTATTAGTCACTGACAACATCCCTTCTGGGTCTGACACCAAACCCTGCAGTCCGTCCATCTGTTCATTTAATGCGTTTCTTCCCCTTGTTTTAATCTTTTAAAAGAAGTACTTCGTCATTCTTTCTCCCTCCTCCCAATCTCTTACGCGCGGTCTCATTTGTAACCCCTTAGCTCTCCAACGTTCCCAATCTCCCAATTCCCTTCTTGCAGACTCTATTATTTTCTCATATATCTCTAACCCCGGGTTATTAATTAAATTCTTTTCTGCTATATGTAACGCCCTTTGAAGTTCTAATTGTCTTGTCGCTCTCCTAGCCGCCAATTGCCTAGCTACAGCTGATATTACTCTTGTGATAGCTTCTATTAGATCAGGGAACGTATGTGCTTCAGAATTGAATGTTAGACATACTTGCACTACAGCTTCTCTCAATTCCTGAGTTTTTAATAATGAATTATTAACCTTGTAAAAAATCCTCCCCCTATCGATGTGCTTATCCATGATCAGATTAAGAAATATCGGCTTATGATCCAAGCAGCTGCAGTATGGTAAGTCTCCTATCCCTACGGAATGCACCACTCCTATCATATTCTGAGATATGAGAAAATAATCTATCCTAGATGCTGACATGTGCTGACTTCGATTCCTTTTATAGTAAGTAAACTGTTTTTGGTCTGGTTGTTGTAGTCTAAAGGGATCTATAAGTTCTCTTGATGCCATAAGATTGTGGATAGGTAGAGCCTCGTCCCACATAAGTCCCTCTCCTATTCCTGACCTCCCCCCCAACAATCTATCCTTACCCGGTTCAAGAGTAGCATTCCAATCCCCTACTAAAATGATATGTCTTGACGAATCCATGTGGGTCTGTAACAGGTTTATCATATCCGACCTTGATTGCCAGGAGTAAGGACAGTAGACTGTGAATAATGTAAACTGTTCTTCTTGATATGTGAAATTTAATTTTATCCAGCGTCCTTCTCCGTCATCTATTTTCACATCCTGTATAATTATTTTGTTTGCCGCCATAGTCCTTTTATTCTGTAATATAGCCACTCTTGATGAATGTGGTCTGGCTGCTGGAGCCCAGAAGCTTGTTTTAACCCACCTCAACTGCTTTAATATGCGTTGCTGAATTTGCTGATGAGCCGTAGATTCCGTAAGATGGGTTTCCTGTATACATAAGAAATCCGGTGGATTCCTCCCCTACCAGTCAGCGTACCTCATTACATTTTCCCATTTATCTTTATTTTCTAATATTTGTACCATCCCATTGATGTTCCAAGACATGATTCTGAGGTCTGTCTGCCTACCTCTTGAGTAAAGTACTGTGCTTCTCCTCCTTTCTATCACCCCTCCCGGTGTCCCCTCCATAACCTATTTTCTCCATGTCTGCCCCATGAACAATTGTGGTCTCACGAACCTGTGTGGGATAAGTCTATCATCGTAGCATAGGGCTCTATATTGCTATCTATGTAATCTGGCTGCCACAAAAAGATATCAGTTTTTGTGACTATTGCTGCCCCTCTTGCCACCCATTCTGACACCTCTGATCCCCCCAAGAGACCATATGGAATAGTCTTCACCACCTCCCAAGGCATCCAGATTAAACCGTCTACCAATTTTGCCTTTTCCTGCAATTTGACCATGATGGGCTTGTAGTCTACCTTATGTGTACTACCCCCCGACTCCGTCCATTCCTCTCGATCCTCTTCAAGGACCCCTACTACATGTGCCTGTGCCGATCATCTCTCTGAAGATATCTTGTGAACAACAACTATCTTTTACTGTGACCAATGCTAGAGACCTTTGGATAGCCACTTCCCAGTCAGAATTGCCACTGTTCCAGCGATAAGGAAGGACAATTCTCCTCCCCGGGTTTTGCCTTGCATACAGTTTGGCCGCTGCGTTGATGTCTGTGTGTGGTGCGTAGACAATTTTCTGCAGATTGATAGTGTCCTCCTCCGATTCCTGATTCTGGTCCTTCAGCACGTTGATTTGTGCCTTCAAAATGGCTGCCTGTCTCTTTTCCTCCTCCATCTGTTCTTCCTCTGTCATTCCTTGCTCGGAATCCACCGATTCCTGATTGTTGCTGCTTGCCCCCTTTGCCGCTTCCTGTCGGGCTTTGCGTTTCTGTTCTGATCTCTTCAATCCCTGTGGTTGGTAAGATTTTGGCCACATGAACTGTTTGACATACCCTGAGTTGTGYACCTCGATATTATTGTTAAGTGGTCGGGCCTTCCACGCATACTGTGTTGCATAGAATTCATTWACCTCTTGCTCCTTCTTCARCCATTCAAAACGGTTTGCTRTTGTGATATCATTTCCCTCCGCTATAGCATTCTTCAGATTGCGCAAGTGTTTGTGATGTGCCAGACGGATTTCACATTCTATGTGTCTCTCCCACTTCAACTTATGGACTGTCCTAATCCATTGTGCTAATGTTTCCGGTTCCTCTTCCTCCTCCTCGTCTTCCTCCTCTTCGTCACCCCAATCGCCATCATCGTTGTCTTCCTTACCCTCTTCATCCTGATCCATGTCCTGGGCCATTTTGTCTGTCTCTCCTTCTCCTCCCCCTTCCGATTCGTTTACTGTTTTTCCAGTTTCGTCTGTCGGTGAGGTCGTTGCTGAGCTGGAGCGTCTTGCTGAACCATTGTTGTCCGTTTGCTGATCAGATGATGATGTTGATGACATGTCTGATTCTGCCTGATTCATATCCATTTCCTCCTCCTTAGATGTGTTGTCACCATGTCCTTCCTCATCCATGTCTGCTTCACCCTCCTCCCCCATGTCTGTTTCCTCCTCACGACCTGTTTGTGAAGATGCCTGTCCTTCTCCCTTCCCTGCATATGTTATCTTAGAGTCTTGACTCAGTCCTTCCACCTTGTTTGAATCTCTGTCACTCACCTTCCTTTTGAGCGAGCATGCTGAGTCCCCCCCCTTTCCTTCCCTTTCCGTAGCCTCATTGCTGCCAGAATTCATCCCACTTTGTTGCTTTCCTCCCTCTTCTTTTCCTTCATCTTCCCTCCCCGCAACAGTGGTCCTTCCTTCATCTCTGGCTCTTTTATTTTCTAAAAAAACCAACTCAGCTACTTGACCCAACTTATGCAATTCATCCATAGTCTGCAGCCTCTGCTTGTCATCCAGCACAGTAGAATCATCAATCATGGGTTTTCATGGGTTTATAAATGAAACCCACATCTCTGTCCTCCATCCTTTTTGCACCCATTTGACGCCATCTGCTATCGTATGGAGGGTAGATGTCTGGCTTTACCGTAGGTGAAGTGTTTAGAACCCACACTCATCATGGAACCTCCAGATTGTCGTCAAAGATCCAACCTCTATATTGTGATGCATTGATATACCACACTCCTGGTTTATTGTCTGATTCTACCAACATTGACTGTTTCAATTGTAGCTGCTTACCACCCAGCCCTGAGGCATTTTGTGGACAATGCATTGCCAGATGCCCTCTTCCCCTGCATTTGAAACAGAACGGGTTAGCCTTTGTTGAAATAAAAACGGTAATTCTCTCAGTCCTCCTTCTGAAAATCCAGACTTCCGGAAATTTAAGGGGTGCACCTGATTTGACCTCCAAGCAAACTACTCTGGAATTGTGGTTAGGTGCAAGGAAGTCCGGATTCGCGGGGAGCCACTCAATAATTGGATTGTTTGGATATTCCTCGATCAATCTCTGACGCACGAAACTATGCATGCCCTCCGATAGGTTATCGAATTGAACCCAGAAGTTATCCCTCATCATAGTCTGTCTATGTCTTGATGCTTCCACCGGTGGTGGCTGAGGCGGTTTCCATGTCTGGATCGTGACAACAGATCCATGACATCTTAGCGAACCCAAAGATAGCAGAAATTGTGCATACGCAGGGTCAACACAAACAATCATTACTGTATATCTGGCCTTCTTGTGGTAAAACACTTCCGGTTCCATACCTAGGATGTGCTCTAATCCCCTGAGTCTCTCCATTACCCATTTTCTCTTTTCATTGAGAGACAGTTCCCTATTTTTGCCTGAGAAATTAAACAACACGGCATGACGTGCGTAGAGGTCATGCAATGTCCGTAAATCTTGTTCTGGATATTCCCACACATCCACCTCTTCTTCCTTTCCCTCTTGCCCTTTTACCACTTCCTTCGTAATTCTAACTGGTGCCGTTATTTTCGTTTTTTCCATAAGGAAGTCCAAGGCCCTTTGACCCAAAGCTCTTGATTGAGTGAATCTACCTCCCGTTGCTGTCGTACCCTGAGATGTTGATGACGCTCCCCCCTGGCTGATACCTCTCCCTTGCATCCTCAAATGATCACTTTCCCTTTTATCTTTTTCTGTCATAGCCCTTTGGGCTGCCATGACATACGTAAACGACATTTTCCCCTTTTTTACTGCCCAATACTTATCCCTCCCCCCCTCTTCGTAGCCCAACAACCCCCTCCGCCTTTTTTTTTTTTTTTTTTTTTTTTCCCGTTAGTTATCTCACTTAACCTTTCCTATAGTCCGTCTCATCCCTCTCCTTTTCCACTTAAATCCCTTCAACGAAAAGCATAGTGTATTCGACTCACCTCCTTCTTGAATCGTTTGTTGCCCAAAATTCTCACCCTGAATGATATCGTCGACTTTATGTTTTTGCTCACGACGCAACCCTCAAAATAATCTTCGACGTCAGCACACATACCTCCACCTTAACCTCCCACCATTGCACTATCTCAAGCTAGCTTTCCTCTCTCTCTCTCTCTATCACTCCCACTCTCTCACTTCATCTCTCTCTCTCTCTCTCTCTCTCTCTCTCTCTCTCTCTCTCTCTCTCTCTCTCTCTCTCTCTCTCTCTCTCTCT